CAACTTTTAACTGTAAAATTGAAATAGTTTGCTCAGAAAGTGTATAAAAAGGGCCAAAGTCTCGAACTAAGGCAATTTTGCTGTTTGTTTGTGCACTTTGCATATGTTTCATCCAAAGCAACGTACATAGAGGTCAGGCAGACAGACAGGTGAAGTATCTTGCACAATGGCAGACTGAATGTAGGAAGAAGCTGGGATTGAACCAGTAACCCTCCAATTATGTGCAACCCTAATATGGTTTTGCAAAAACCGTTACAACTGCTAGTCTGAATGAATAACCGCTATGTGATGCCACGTGGCAGTATTTGCTAAATTAAATCAGTAGCAGATGTACAATCAAGGCTTTCAGTAGGTCAAGTGATTAATGAGAAACACATTTTAAAAATAGGTTTGAAAAGGCTAAATGTTCTGGAAAATCTAACAACATTGTCTGATTTTTCACCAATATTTGACAGTTTTTTTTCTTTTTCATATTTTTATTTAATTTTCTATTTATTTACCCTTAATTTTTAAATTTAAATACCTATTTTTTCAAGGGAGACCAGGTCAGGTAAACATAGACAAAACTAATGAAAGACTATTAAAATCTGAATAAAATGACAAGCATTTACAACAAAACCTTTGAGTCAGCGTCAAAGAATTGTAGTTTTGATTTAAAAGCACTCAGTGAAAATTTCTCTGTCATTTCCAAGTCATCCCACAAGCCAAGGGTGCTGAGTGGACAAAAGCTCTTTAGCAAGTTCAGTTTGGGCAAATGGAAGAGAAAGTGAGAAGTGATCTTGCACACGAAGAGGATAACGACGAGCACTTCTCTTTTCAAGAAGGGATAGGAAAGCAGCAGTCCAAGAATGGTGAGTTAGAGGTAAAGCCTGGTTCATACTTCTCCATTAGCTTGGGTGAGGAGTCGTGCACACAGGCATTGTGTGACATTTTTCTTTTAAACCTCTTTGGTGCGTAGGGAGTGTTGCAAAGCAATTCCTAGCCAGGGAGCATAGCGCTTTCTGGGGGAATGGGGGACGGTTCTGCCACCGTTACAGTCCCATCTCCGGTTAACGATAGTGTGTTTACCTTTGTGCAATTGTTTGTATATAGAGCACCGGACCCCACGTGACTCTCAGTTAGTAGACTCCATATTGGCAGGCAAAAGAAGCTAAACAAACACGGATCTTAACCGTGAACGGGATCGGCTTGGATTTTACTTCGTCGGAGTTTACTTCACACTTTAAAACCGAAGAAATCGTTTTATATAGTCAGAAATTAAATAGACTAAACATCTCCGACCCTTACCGTGCCCCTGGGATACTTTTTAAAAACGCCAGAAGCTGTCGGAGCGGACTTCTTACCGGACCTGGCCGGGGAACCCCTTGGGATTTACCCGGAGGAGCTGGCTCAGGCGGCTGGGGAGAGGGAAGTCTGGGCCTCTCGACGCTACTGCCCCCGCAACCCGATTCCGGATAAGCGGATGAAAATGGATGTGTTGTTTGAATGTATAAACTGAACGCCAAGAGAAATCACTAGTTTGATTTTTTTTCGTGGATAAAATAAATATGTCAGGCAGGAGCGTCTCAGGATCTGTCTGAGATCTGTCTCGGTGAGACCGATAATAGCAATCCAAAGTGCTTTTTATGTGTGATCTGACAATTGATCAACCATTGCTTAAAAATTAAATACAGCTTAGCCGGTTAATTGCTGTGATCATAAAACACGTAAACGGCAGCACGCAGAACTCACGAGGAAACGTTTTACGTGATGTTTACTTGTTGCTATGAGTAATAAGACAGAAAAAGCCACGTGTCAGAGTCCAAGCCCCCAGGCCGGGCTCTCCCAGCTGACCGGCTTCTGTCTCGGACCATTACCCAGCATGCCCCTCGCGGGGATTCCCTCCACGTTGCATCTGCGTCATCCATGTCTATATATTGAAGACGCCACACCGGCTCTTCACTCAGTCATCGTTCCACCGTGTTCCATGATCAGAGTATTCAGAAGCTAAGACAGTTAAACCTCCACCTTTCTAACTCAGACCTCATCCTTCCATCAGCCTTTTCAGCACCGCTTGCAGCCAGCAGTCTCTAATAAAGCTCGTACTCCCGAAACCAGTCTTCGAGTCTGACACCACGCCAAAATAAGTTTAGGAAGCCCACTAAGAATTGTAATAAAAGCATTTAAAATAAACACCATACACAGTTGAGGAAACGTTGGTTTAAGTACCTGATATGAAGTGGTCGCTGCATAAGTGAAAACCTTTACTCTCTGGATCCCACAGCTTCATTTCAGCCCGGTCACTAGCGCGTTTTATTACAATGATCCAACGTTTGCGGCGCTCCGGATCTTGGGGAATCCTGTAGATGGCTCATTCCTTATGTCGTCCGTGTCTGTTCTGCATCCTGGGGCACAACAGGAATCTACCATATTTCCTGTCTGAGTTTTCTGACAATAACAAATAGTCCAGCTGCCGGCTTCTACCTGCCAAGATGGCGCCGTTTCGATTTGAACTGTTGCATGCCGGGAAAGGTGACGTCAACTCCCGGAGCTCTATATGTACTTCAGATACTTTTTAACACAGACCAATTTGTCCTTCATTCTCTTTCACCTCTTTATTTATGGTGCGTTCACATCTGGGTCGGCCCAGTCTAGCCTTGGTAGGGTAATTGTGTTCACATCTGGGCAATCTGCTTTTTCCGTGCTCAGCTGACTGTTTTTTTTTTGGACCTGCTCCTCAGCGGTCAGCATGGTGTGGAGCCAACCCAACACACCCTCTACCGACCGACTGACCAGCTGAAGTTCACTCCTACCTACTAGAGGGAGCCTATTTTAGCAGTCAGAATCAGCCAGTGGTGGCTTGCCGCATTCGCGATTTATTATCAGTCTGGGTGCAGTCAGATATACCCTCTTCTCTGACTACAGCTTGGAACTGCTGCTCCAGCCATGGGAGCACGAGGACAGACTGCTGGGTGAGGAGCCAGAGACAGCACCGCTGCTCAGTGAGACAGTGGGAAGCTGTGCGCTTCATGTCAACGTCTTCTAAAGCAACGCTGCTCACAGCTGCTTTTGTTTACTAATTTAAGGGAAGACACCACGGACTTCTCCGTGCGTCTTTAGCCCCGCTCACATGCTTGGAGACATCTGCGTTCCTGAGAAGGCTGTGTGAACAAAACCTTGCCATGTGGAAGCGAGCTGACCCAATCAAGACCAGACTGGGTCGGCCCCGATGTGAATGTGACAAACTACAATCCTACATTTCCCACAATTTCCTTCCACAAATTAAAAGCCTGCTTCTTATCTTTGTACTCCTTTAATGAAGGTTGTATAAATGTTCATATTGTCTGACTTCTTCTGCAAGACATTCTTTTATCGACAGTGACAGAGGAGTTAAGTGACAGCCCCGTAACCGGAGGGTGGCAGGTTTGAGTCCTGTCTGTTGACATTGTTGGGTCCTTGGGCAAGACACTTGACTCTCTTTGCCTGCTGGTGGTGGTCAGAAGGACCAGCGGTCCACAGCATTGCAGCCTTGCTTCATTCGGTCTGTCCCAGGACAGCTGAAGCTACAATGTAGCTCATCACCACCAACGTGTGTTGTGTGAATCCAGGAGGGGCTCGGAGTAGATCAACTACATCGAGGAGCCAGTTGAGGTGGCTCATGCGTCTGCTTAGGATGTCTCCTGGATGCATCCCTGGTGAGGTTTTCCAGGCACATCTAACCAGGAAGATACCTAAAGGAAGACCCAGAACACGCTAGAGGAACAAGGTCTCTCGGTTGGCCACAGAACATCTTCCCCCAGAAGAGCTGGCCCAAGTGGCTGGGGAGAGGGAAATCTGGGCCTTCCTGCTCAAGCTACTGCCCCCGCGGCCTGAATCCGGAAAAGCGGACGAAAATGGATGGACGCATGGATGGTGGGGCTGTGTCTGCCGTTAGATAGCTTAGCTCTTGTTTTTGTCAATGGCGGTACCGTTGAGAAATTTAAAGGAAGTGGCATCCTGACCAATCACAAGCTTGCAGTCTACGTAGCTTTCAGTGGACATTTAAAAATTGGGCATTTCTCCGTCACCTTCTGCAGGCCTGCCGCAGAGGCCTTGCGTTGACAAATTATGGTGTTGCGTGTCTCCATACCGTCGCAGATGGAGACGTATACATCAGGCGTTACGGTTTGTGATGAATGAAACAGACATTCAAACACATTAAGCAGAAGCATTCATCTTCTACTTGTCTCCAAAATCAATAACAGACAGAAATGTTGTAGCTGCAAGCTGTTTACTTGAATTCTTTACTAGGATAAATAGAAATATTCATACACTTAACAGCAAATGTTTTGGTGGTTTTCCTACGGTGGGTTTTGCTAACAGAAAGAGCTAATTCCATTAGTTAATATCAAAGTTTAAAGCAAAGATCATACACACTGTGCATCACACAGACCATGTGATTAGAAATACTCTCAACTACTGTAACGCCAAGTTTTAGCTCTATATCTGTAAACTGACTGAGTTCTAGACTGTAGCGGCCATCTTGATTCAGGTTACCTCCTAAAACTAATATAGATGCTCATCTTTTTGAAAGCTTCACTAAAATCTGCCCAAACCACTTCCCTGCTCACCTTCCATTCCTCCGTTGGGCGATAACAAACAAAAGAAACAGAGATGACTGACATTAAACACGTAGCTGACCAGCAGTAACAACGGTGCCACATTATTTAGTGCATACAGTAAAAATGTAGAACTAATGATTTATAAATGGTGAATGCATTCACTCAGTTCTCAGTTTGATCCCGACTAGGAAACGATTCTCAAAATGATAAAGTATTGCTGGAAAATATCTGTATTGTACTTGTTCCTCTTATTTTCTTTCCTTGCTGTTCCTGAACATGCTCAGCCTCCTTTTCCTTCCTCGTTTGATCGCTCACTTCCTTTTCCTCTTTGCTCATGTGTAGCTGTCAACATCACATCCTGTCATTTGATGACCACTTTGTTGCCCAGGGTCACCTGACCATACAAGTGGACAAACTTACAGGTCTGCTGTGATTTGGCTTTACTGGACCTTTTGGTGGACTCACACCACACGGTAAGTCCGTCCTCTAGCAGCCGCAGGCTCCGACTCTTCTGCCACCTCGAAGAGCGGACTTTCACCATGCTGGAGCCCTGCATCATCACACCAATGTCCTCGTTGTCCATAAGCCCTGGACAACACAAGAGTTCATGTAAGAATGATGTCAACACGGAAACTTTCATCAGAGTTAAACAAATCTGGGGAAAAGTAACATAAAATTAGAAGAAATCTTAAAAAAAATGCAAGAAATTAATTTAAAAAAAGGCAATAGGCCTTGTAGAAATGTATTTAGATACATTTTGTGCTCAATCATGAAATTTCACAAAAATGTATGACTTTTTTATGTCTAAATGTCATTTGTCAATGGGCTGAAATGGAGTCACATCCTCTTGTTCTTGTACTCCAACCCTCAGATCCTGCTTTACATACAAATACTGGAGGAAATGACTCATACTTTGCAATTATGTGTGGTTTAAAATTCAGTTTATGTAATAACAAAGTTCACACATGAGTAAGAACATGATGGAGTTGATTTAATAAAACTCAGTCAGGATCATGTGTAACTTAGTCCTGTTTTGGTGAAGCGTCAGGTTAAACGTTACAGAGGAGACAGCAGAAGTTATTAGACAAACAGCTAAATGAGTCAAAGACCAGAAGAATGCTACTAGAGAACAAATTTGATATTTTTAAAGGGTAATTTTACATGATATATTTGAGATTAGATCAGAGATTAGAAAACATTCAAAACCAGTTTTAGTGTACTGTTAAAATGCTAACTCCTTTGAATTTTGCTCATTTGTTAAGCCGCAGGCCCCAAATTTTATGTTAATTTGGGGAATTTATACTTTTTTTCACTGCAATGCTGTAAAAAGCCATCTGTATGTATTTTAATGATCTAATGCTAAAATGTATTTACTAAACCCATGATAAGGTATGGTGGAGGAGTTTTTTCTTACGGGTGGATCATCTGAACCATTGGTCCGCATAACTGTCAATCATTCTGGTGAAGCTTTCACGCTGTTGTCGTGCGTGCTCGTTCCTAGGTTAGTTTTCACTTCCTGCTCATGCTAAATCTGTTTATGTGTACACCCTCATCCATTCATTCCACCTCGCCGTCCTCACTGGGTTCTTTTGAAAATGGCTGAGATAAGAGAAAAAGTGTCTTCGAAGTCTACGATAAGAAGAGAAATGCCTCCGAAGTGAGAAATAAAGCCAGAGTTTTTTAAGAGACTCTTTATAACGATGGCATGTGTCAGCGCATGCCGGTGAGTGAGGCAGATACAAGGATCCACACGTGGGTGAGGGAAGCAGGCAGGCAGACAAACCAGAATGAGTTTGGAGTCTTTAATAGTGAACACACGCTGGACAATGAAACAATGATCCACAAAGAGACACAGAACTGAAGGGGTTTAAATACAGGAGGGCTGGGAGCTTGGGTGATTGGAAAACGAGAGGCAGGTGGGAGCAATTAACAGAGACGCAGGCTGAACCAAATGGGGAGACAGGACAGGGTGTGACAGCATGAGCTGAAAGCGAAGGTTGGGCTTCCCACAGACGCCTCTGTTGCCGGTTTTCTAGTCGACAGATAAGCTAAAGTTTGGCATGCTATTTGGAGAAATCGATTTCAGATTACTGCTAGAAGAAGTTAGCTGCGGGCTGTGCAGTGGCGCAGTGGTTAGAGCTGTTGCCTTGCAGCAAGAAATGGTAAAATGGTAAATGGCCTGTACAGCTTTCTCTTCTGGCACTCACAGAGCACAGTCGCTTCTGCTTTGCTCCCTTATCTTTTTCCCAAGGCTCTTTCTGTCCCGTCTGCCTACAGAGCGCTTCTCTGCATTTCCTCTGGAAATCACTATTTTTCAGAAATGGATTTAATTAATTGGTCATTCAACGCGATTGATAAGATTTTTTCTACGATGAGAATGGAGGAGGGGGCTCGCGCTTGTCCTCACGGGACACACGCAGTGGGATATATGCTCGATTCCTGGAAGAAGTGGAATGTCATCTGTCTCTCTCAGCTGTCCATTGAGGACGTCGAAGATGTGTGGATATTTGGCCTGATGATCACTAGATTTCTTCTGATTGGATTGGGAGGATATCTGGTTTTCCGAAAAATTGGGATGACGGGAGCGATTGGAGGGCGACCCGCAACCATGGACGGCACCGTCCGGGCGGAGACCTCACAGACTGGGACGTCACTCGAGGTGAATCGTAAGCTGGACAATGTCTTAGCTGCGTTACCGGTGTTAGTGCGCAAAATGGATGTCATCTCGGAGAGGGTCACCGGACGGTGTGGAGATGTTTAATCACCGAATTGGCTTCACTGGAGGATTTGAATGATCAATACAGACTTTAAGGCAGAGAGGAAAATTATCTCTGCCTGACCCAAACAAAGTCCTGTTATTCAATCTGACGCCATAAGCAGCCTTGGAGTTGCGTGCAAAAAAACCCCACGATGGAAGGAATGCAGACAAATGCTGTGAAAACCCTACCCCCCCCCCCCCCCCCCCCCCCCACACACACACACACACACACACCCCGCCTTCAGAATGTGGTATCCGTATCGAGGTCATCAAGATGGAGGCACTCACTGTGCTCTGTGCTTTCCCATGACCTCCCACCCACCTGTGGATTCAGTTGGCCGAGCGCCACTCAGGCTGCTCCAGCTGAGGAAACCAGGGTCCGTCCCCCCACCCCCACCCCCCACCCACCCCCACCCCACCCCCACCCACCTACCTACCGGGTCTCATGTTGTGAACTGTGACGTTCTACACCCTGCCGGTGTAACTCTGTTAATGCCTTTTTCTCCCTCCCCGAACTTTCCTCATGTAATCCCCTCTTCATCTACTGAAATGAGCACTGTTATGGCTGCTCTCGTGGTCTGCCTGTATCTGTCCTGTCTATATGTGTGTGTGTAATCTTGGTCAGGCTGTTCTGTGGAGTCAAGTTCCTATGCTCTGGTTCGCTGGAGCGCTGGCAATAAAATTCTCTCTGATTCTGATTCTGATTTGATATAGCGCCTTCTTGAGTCCTGGAACCCCCCAAGGCGCTTTACAACACAATCAGTCATTCACCCATTCACACACACATTCACACACTGGTGGGGATGAGCTATAATGTAGCCACAGCTGCCCTGGGGTGCAATGACAGAGGCGAGGCTGCCGAGCACTGGCGCCACCGGTCCCTCCGACCACCACCGGCAGGTAACGTGGGTTAAGCGTCTTGTCCAAGGACACAACGACAGCAACATACTGAGCGGGGCTCGAACCTGCAACCTTCCAATTACGGGACGAGCACTTAACTCCTCTGCCACTGTCGCCCTGAAGGTCCTGGGTTTGCTTCCCGGCCTGGGATCTTTCTGCATGGAGTTTGCATGTTCTCCCTGTGCATGCGTGGGTTCTCTCCGGGTACTCCGGCTTCCTCCCACAGTCCAAAAACATGACTGTTAGGTTAACTGGTCTGTCTAAATTGTCCTTAGGTGTGTGTGTGTGCATGATTGTTTGTCCTGTAGGTCTCTGTGTTGCCCTGCAATGGACTGGCTCGCTGTCTATAGGTCTATGTTTAAATATAATATATCTACATTTATAGATGTGGGTGTTGTACCGGTCTGTCGTGGTGAAGACAGAGCAGAGCCAGAAGGCAAAGCTCTCCATTTACTGGTCGATCTGGTTCCTACCCTCACCTATGGTCACGAGTTTTGGGTAGTGACCGAAACAACGAGATTGTGGATAAAAAGCATGCATAATTTCTGGAAGGGGGTAAAATTCTGGATTCAACATTTCATTTGCTTAGTGTAGCTTGAAGATAATGATTAACTGCAGTAAAAAAAATATTTGCACAAGTTTCTCAAATCTCATTTTGAAGGTTTAAATACGACTGGTCCACTCAGGGGGTCAAAGAGCAATCCAATGAAATCCCTCTCATTGTGTACATTTTAGAAGACGTCTGGCCTTTAGACACTAGGAGCACCTTTATGGGCGAGTTATAGAGTTCAATAGTAAATGTGGGACATGTTTAGTAGTCTAGGCTCGAGGCTGATGCTACATAATGTTTATTTCCATTTTCAAAGACCTAAAACCAGTTAGTTTGTTATTTAGTTGGGAATCTGGTCCTTTAAAAGGTTCTTATATAATGAAAGAAGAAAAGTGACAAATGCTTTACAGAACAAGTGTTAGTGGATATTCAGGATATGCCAGTTTAATCAGTATTAAGAAAAAAACCTCTCACAATAATTGTCTTTCCTGTGTCCAAAGAAGCAACCCAAACAAGCTCTGAAGATAATTATTCCGAGTGTCGCTCCTACTAGATTCCAGCTAACGATTTATACCCTTTGTTGCTTTCTCTTCCTCTTTTAAATCACAGTCTCCTGACTATCGGAGCCAAAAAGAGCTGCTCACAGGTCTCCCAGAGCTACAGCAAACAGACACGACTCTCAGCTCCCCTCCCTGCTATTGAGTCTGAACACAAAGGAACCCCCCCCCCCCCCCCCCCCCCCCCCCACCACCACCTCCTCGGTTCATAACAAGCATGTTTTTCCAAGCTGTTAGCACATGCGAGGCATTCCCAAATGCAGCACAAGGATCTGATTATCAGCAGGTCAGTAACTGGTCTAAGCTGCACAAACAGCTTCAACTGGTTCTGTCAACTTAAAACTTCTGTTGGTCTCAATCTAGTTTCAGTTTCCTACATGAGTCATCCCTCCGTGTAAACGTGCCATTACTGTAAACTAATAGTTGTTTTAAATAGAAGAACACTGATGTTTTAGCACACCAGATTCCCCTGAGAGTGATGGTGGGACTCTTCTGGCCTCAGAGCTGAGCTGTTTTCTTTTCATGACCTCCAGCAGAAAATCTGGTTGACATCCACTTCACCAGCTAGTCAAACTCCTGCATGCCAGCCGGTTAAGCAAGCGTACTAATGTGCTCTGATCAAAACACGCTGGGGGTTTTCCTCTGCTCCTTGGGTCTTGCAAATCCTAGTTCTATATGAAGTTTCCAAGAACACTCCTGACTGAAATTCCTGGATAGAAACCTAAAAACATGTATATTAGCTTTGGATTTATGTGAGGTAGAAGCTATTGAGAGCATTCAGAGAACACGGCGGGTGGGTAAAATAAACATCGATGGAGTTGAT